GGAAAGTATGAGCCATGAAAGTTCGTACCAAAAAATAATATTCTGCATTCTATCAGAAACCACATTTACCTGAAAGAGTAGAATTGAAGACACAGGTAGATCCCCTTTTAAATTACCCCTTTGGAACATTACATGACAACTAAGGGGAAGAAATTTTGGGAAACAGGAGACCAGAAACTTTGTATGATCCAGGTTTGAATTATCCGTTGCAACCTGGGGGAACCTTCCAGTAATCACAGAATTTCTCAGACTTGCTTACAAGGAAATCAAAGGGCACTCACCTGCCGGAAACAGCAGGAGCCTAACCATATCTGTGAGCCGAGGAGGGAATGGAGAGAGAGGGAGAGAATCCCAAGCAGGCTCTGCACTGTTAGTGCAGAGTCCAGCGCAGGGCTCGAGCTCACAAACCAAACCATGAGATTATAACCTGAGCCGAAATCAAGAGTCTTAACCAATGGACCTCCTGAGGTACCCCCCCCCAAGTTTGCTTTCTTCTTCGTATTCAGTGGAGGGTTTATTGCTTAGTGCAGAACCACTCCCTCAAGGCCATTAGAATGTCTGTGAGTGCCAGCCACAGCGCTCCTATGTTGCCATCAGTTCTTTATCAGGTTTTTACCCTTTAGTCTTGATGTTGCTCGAATTTGGTATTTATAGGACCTCGATGTCCCTGCTTCATCCTAGTCCTCAAGTCCTTGAACTTGGCCTGGCTGATCCAGGCTCCACCAGCCCTGGAAGCGTCGTCCCACATTTACGTTCCATGAGATGCTATGTCTAGCTATTTTGGCTCTAGGCTTATATTCCCTTCCTTATTATTTAAGAACATTTTAGATTTTTATAGTTATGGAAATTATATGCCATACTCTAGTCCTTGTTTCTTTTGAGGCCTAATATGTGTATTATATATACCCCCAAACATTGAAAGAACATGTTTTTTGCTTTACTTCTTTTATTGGGGTCCCAGCATGGCATTTGGTGATTTCCTTTATTTACACTGTGGAACACATGGAGGTAGTCCACTGGTTTATAACTTTGGTAACATTGGACTTCATAATCATCTTGAAATTTATTCTACCCAGATAGTTATGTAATTTTTCAAGACTATTGCTATCTAGGACCCTTGGCTGGCTTGGCCAGTAGAGCATGTGAGTCTTGATCTTGGGGTTGTAAGTTTGAGCCCCATGTTGGGTGTAGAGATCATTTAAGAATAAAGTCTTTTAGGAAAAATAAGAATATTGCCCATCCAGAAGCTCAGAGTCGCCCATTATTCTGCTCATTTATAATCTCAGGGCTCTGGTGCCTCCCCCGAATGGATTCCAACCACATAAAAGCACACGCAAAATTGACTTTCAAAGCATAAGCCTTAATTTTTTTTTTAATTTTTTTTTAATTTTTTTTTAATGTTTTATTTATTTCTAGGAGAGAGAGAGAGACAGCGTGAGCAGGGGAGGGTCAGAGAGAGAGGGAGTCACAGACTGAAACAGGCTCCAGGCTCTGAGCTGGCAGTCAGCACAGAGCCCGACGCGGGGCTCGAACCCATGAACCGCGAGATCATGACCTAAGCGAAAGTCGGACGCTTAACCGACTAAGCCACCCAGGCGCCCCCATAAGCCTTAATTTTAACAGATGCTCTGTCTTGGACTTACTAAAGCAGAATAATTTCATTTAAGGACTTGATTTTTTTTCTTTTCCTCCCAAGCAACTCTATTCTTGCAAGACTTTAACCCCAGGCAGAATGGAGGCAAAAATGAATGTTGTATATATTGATCTATACATTGATTTAAATGGTTAGGTAGCCGTTCAGCTGACAGAAGTGAAAGGAGTTAGGAAGACAAAAAACACCCTCCATCATATGGCGTGCATTGTTTGAACAAAAGAAATTATTTCTATTGGATTCAGTAATTCAATGATCTACTTTCATCTAACTTCCCTTATTATTAACCAAACGAGAAACGAAATACTAGGTGCAGCTGGTAGGTGCACAAAGCTTGTAAACCAGAAGTGCTTGGGCAACGAGGATAAGAAGTGACATTTTTCAGGCCAAGCCTTTGTCCTATGATAACCGCTGATCGAGTTGACAGGTCCATTAATCAAGGGACACTTACATCCAGCAAGCTGAAAAGACCGGCCTGAATTGCTGAGTATTCGTTACAGGAGAGATAACTCTTATAAAAACCTCTAAGCAGAGCACACTTAACAGCAAAAAGGAGGTAATAACTGTGGCATCTACAAATACACAGAGTTTCCAAATGGAATTTCAGGAGGAAAAAAATGGGGGAGTTTGGAGAATAAAGAGAACACATTTACATTTCAATGGGGGCCAGTCCGGAAGGTAATTTTTCACAAGGACCTAATATATTTTAAATCCCCATGAAATTCATAGCAGGCGTTTCCCTTATTTGGAGTTTATTGTGAGGCTGATGACCTTGCATTGGGCTGATGGACCTTCTCCCCGAGTACTTTGGTGACCTATATGAGCGCGATTAGAATTTAAATTTTTTATTTATTTTGAGTTTGTTTTTCAAGCCTGTACGTGTGAAGCTTTTTATGAATTTGTCAGGTAAAACTGAGCTGATCCAAATAGAACATATGGTCTTTTATGTAACTGTATTAGATATAAAAGCAGTACCTCTAAGAAGCTTACAGGTTGAGGCACACATTCAATGGCAGGTAAAATACAAAAATCAGGCACAGACCTGCCTCCTGAGTCCATCACTCATAACTGCCACATTCTTTTATGTTGTTAATGCCTGAGCCAACTGCGCCCGGCCAGTCATCCTCTTTCTTCAAAGCTGCCTCCAAATCCAGCCTATTTCATTCTGATTCCAGTCAGAAAAGGGCCAAATTGGTTTCCCAGTTGCAGATTTTGCTTTTTCCAGACACTTCTAGATGATACATTTCCCAAGGAAGAATGCAGGGGTGATATGCACTAGCAGAGCCCACTTCCCCCTTGGCGTCCGCGTGCATGTACATTCTCGTCCATGCAGGTGGCCTCACTTTTGGTTGGAAAATACGGTCCCTAGAGTGGAATGGTCTGGTTTCAGCGTCATACTCTGTGTGTTTCTGGGGTCGTGCGATAATAATTACTGCTTGTCAGCGATGTAAGGAAGTGTCAGCCAGCAGTGAGTGGGCTTCTCCCAAACCCCAATGTGATACGATGTGTAAGAACAGGTTTATAGAGTCAGGCACTCTGCAGATGTAGATTATTTTTTGCGAATGTGATGACACTCTACCATGGGATTTGCCTTCAGAGATGGTTTATATGTCGGACCGATCAGTCTTGCTCCCCACTCAAAGGCCCTTCTTCCTTCAAGTGTCTGTAAAGCAGCTACCCTTTTAAATGTTTGTTTTGCCCAGAAGGCGCTCCCAGGAGCATGGCTCATGGGGACAGACCATACAACAAAGAGACCGTATCATTCTCCTTCAGTTTTCGATTAAAAAAAAAATGAAAAGAAACTGTGTTTACTTGTTCCGTTGGTTGGTTGAGTCTTGCTTTTGGCAACTAGAAAGTAATTTAGAAAACAAATATCAGGTTGATAGAATGTTTCGGGGAGTTTTAAGGGAATGTGCACAGGAGCATTCTGTAAGCACTAAAGTTTTTGCTATTGTTTTGCTTCTCCCAGAATTGTCTTTAATATTTTCTATATTGTTAGTTGACCATAGTTGGATTTTTTTAATGTTTATTTATTTTTGGGAGCCAGAGACACAGCATGAGCAGGGGAGGGGCAGAGAGAGGGAGACACAGAATCCAAAGCAGGCTCCAGGCTCTAACTGTCAGCACAGAGCCCGACACAGGGCTCAAACTTGCAAACAGCAAGATCGTGACCTGAGCCCAAGTCAGGAACTTAACCGACTGAGCCAACCAGGCGCCCTGACATGTTTGTAGTCTTAGCATCTTTCTTTCTTTCTTTCTTTCTTTCTTTCTTTCTTTCTTTCTTTCTTTCTTTCTTTCTTTCTTTCTTTCTTCTTTTCTTTCTTTCTTTCTTTCTTTCTAGAATTTCTTTTCAAGTTTATTTATTTTTGAGAGAAAGGACACAAATGGGGAAAGGGCAGAAAGGGAGGGAGGGAGAGAGGGAGAGAGAATTGAAAGCAGGCTCCACACCACCAGTACAGAGCCCGATGCAGGGCTCAAACTCATGAACTGTGAGATCATGACCTGAGCCGAACTCAGAGGCTTACCCGACGGAGCCACCCAGGTGCCCTGGATTTTTAACATTTCTTTTATCACACTCTGGTGAAGGTTAAAAAAAAAAAAAAAAGACATTTGAAACAGGCATATATACACTTAATGAAATATAATTTGAGCTTTTATTGGGATTTTGGAATTCTACGCCATCGGCTCTTCAAAAGTACATTTCTGGGGCGCCTGGGTGGCTTAGTCGGTTAAGCGTCCGACTTTCGCTTAGGTCATGATCTCGCGGTTCATGGGCTCAAGCCCCACATCGGGCTCTGTGCTGACTGCCAGCTCAGAGCCTGGAGCCTGTTTCAGTCTGTGACTCCCTCTCTCTCTGACCCTCCCCTGCTCACGCTGTCTCTCTCTCTCTCTCTCCTAGAAATAAATAAAACATTAAAAAACAAAACAAAACAAAAGTACATTTCCTCCCAAGGAGAAGAGTTAATTGGGACAAGCAGTAGCTTAATAAAGGAACAAGAAGACCACGGCACACAGGAGTTGTTTTCTTGCCTTTTTCACGTGTTAAGGATCCTAGTTGGCTGCTTCTTATATGTTCTGAGGCTTTCTAGTTAGTCCGTCCCCAGCAGAAAGGACTCAGAGTCACCCAAGTTAGGCCTCTCAGCTTAAGTTCACATTTGCCCTGATTTCTTGCTGCCTCATCAAATAATGAAGCTCAGGGTTTCCTTCTTGCGCCCACGGTCCGGTTCGCCAGGCTTTCCCGCCACTGCTGCCGGACTGCCTATCACTAGATGGCGCTAAGACTCCGGGACTGGCTGCCAGGACTCAGGAGAACAGCTGTTGTGGAGCCGGGCCAGCTGGAACTGGAAGATTCCTTCAAAGCTCCTCCTGGCAGCACTTTCATTTCACAAATGAGGAAACAGAAACTCCGTGAAAATAATTTGCCGGAGTCCCCTCCACTTCTCTCCTTCTGTTGCTCCTTCATTTTGTTTGTTTGTTTCTTGTTTGTTTACAGCCCCCAAGGAAACTCATCGCCAGAGAGGGAGCCCGGGAATGAATGCAGTGCAGAGAGAGACGGGTCAGATTCGCTTCGCAGAAAGAGCATCCTGGCATCTGCAGGGTACCATTCATTCATTCATTCATTCATTCATTTGCTCGTTCATGCATCTATGAAGCCGCTATTGAATACTTACCTTTTTGGGTTTTGTTTTTTAATGTTTATTTATTTATTTTGACAAAGAGAGAGAAAGAGGGAAAAAAAAAAAAGAAAGCAGGGAAGGGGCAGAGGGAGGGAAAGAGAATTCTAAGCAGGTTCCACGACCAGCATGAAACCTGACTTGCGGCTCGATCCCACGACCCTGGGATTGTGACCTGAGCGGAAATCAAGAGGTTGATGCTTAACTGACTAAGTGAACCAGGCACCCCTGAATATTTACCTTTTGTTTCCCACCATGCTAGGCACTGGGAATTAAAATAAAATTAGGCAAGGGTTCTGTGAATTCATATTCTCTTGAGAAATACAGAGATGTGGAAAAAAATCACACCCTAAATCAAAGATGTTATAAGAGAGGTGATCATAGTACGGTTTGGTCCTTGGAGGAATCCGCACCCGGCTGCCTAAGGAACTGAAAGGGAAGGTTTGGGGGATGATGTTAGAGGCTGAAGGACATGAGGGCTTGTAGGCTGGGAAATGGGAGGCAGCGAAGGGAGCGTGGGGGAAGGTGGCAAGGCTGGCTGGGAACGCAGGCTGTGGCTGAGCCCAAGGGGCAGTGGCAAAGCCGTGGCTGGCAATCCTGGCAGCCGGGAACACACTCTGAAGGCCTTGTCCAAGGTGATTCAGGTTGTAACCAATATCCTTAGAGGGCTGTTACGGGTCAAGGGCTTGATTTCTTTACAAAGCAATGATGAAATTAATTGTTTTAATTTATATTTTTAATTAAAAAAGTTTTTTTAATGTTTTATTTATTTCTGAGAGAAAGAGAGAAAGAAAGAGAAAGAGAGAGAGACAGCATGAGCAGGGGAGGGTCAGAGAGAGAGGGAGACACAGAATCTGAAGCAGCCTCCAGTCTCTGAGCTAGCCGCCAGCACAGAGCCTGATGTGGGGCCTGACCCCATGAACCGTGAGATCATGACCTGAGCTGAAGTGGGACACCCAACCGACTGAGCCACCCAGGCACCCCTGGAATTAATTTTTAACTAAAGGCACATATTACTTGGATGACACCTTTGAAATATTTTTAAAATGCAATTAAATGGCATTTCAAGTGAAAGAACAGACAATCCTCCCATAGAGCGCCCCCCCAAAAGGATAAAAGGGACAGAGAACCCCTGTCCCCCACCTCCCCCAGCACTGCCTGATTAGAATTAGGGAGAAGCAGACCTTTCCTGGCCCCTTTTGTCATCTCCTTCCTCTTCTGGAACATACCACTGATGTCTTCCTCTTAGTTGTCCAAATTCGGCTTCCACCAGAACCTTTATCTTCTGGCTGTCACCGCTGGTGACTGAGGACATTATTTCTCTCTCCTGGTCCCACCACCACCACCAAGACCAGCCGGGAGTGGCCTGCTTGCTGGGTTTCAGGACCTTTTCTTATAGCAGGAGGGCCAGGACGGCTGGGGCCATTGATGGGGACTGCTCTGGGTAGGCTCTGAGCTGCCACTTTTCCCTGGAGGGACTTGTCTTTTTTTTATTTTATTTTATTTTTTATAGTTTATTCATTTTTGAGACAGAGAGAGACAGAACATGAGCAGGGGAGGGGCAGAGAGAGACGGAGGCACAGAGTCTGAAACAGGCTCCAGGCTCTGAGCTGTCAGCACAGAGCCCGACGCGGGGCTGGAACCCACGAACCGTGAGATCATGACCTGAGCTGAAGTCAGACACTTCACCGACTGAGCCACCCAGGCGCCCCGGAACTTGTCTTTTTAAGAATCTCCAAGGCCAGCGCCATCCTGTTTTCCCTTTGTCCAACTCAAGCACTAATTATATTTGTTACTACTATTAACGTCACTTGGCACCCCAAATCAAACGTTCTGTGAATGGAATTGTATTTCAAATGTGTCCTGGGGGTGAGGATGGGGGTGGGAGGGACTGTGGGTGGAAAGAGAAGCAGAGACCTGGATAAAATGAGGACCCTGGAGGGGCGCCTGGGTGGTCAGTCAGTTAAGCGTCTGATCTTGTGGTTTGTGAGTTCAAGCCCTGCATTGGGCTGCTGCTGACAGCTCAGAGCCTGGAGCCTGCTTCAGATTCTGTATCCCCCTCTCTCTCTGCCCCTCCCCCACTCACACTTTGTCTCTCTCAAAAATAAACAAACATTAAAGGGGTTTCCTTTAAGAGGTAATGAAAGTTCCTTTTAACCGAGGGCTTACTACTCCCTCACTCCGAGTCAGGCATTTTTAGTATTTTGTCTCTAATCCTCGGGGACCCTCCCCTGCCAGGAAAGTTCACCTCGGCTCCTCTCTGGCTCCGCACCATACCTCACTCTGAGCCAGCACGTTATGGGGGCTCAGTGAAGATCTGCCCGCATTGGCTGTCCTCATTACAGAGGAGGAAACTCAGCTCAGTTGTGGGCCCTATTTCTTCATTCATGGGTGCATTAACTAAGTACAGTAAAACCTTGGATTGTGAGCAACTTGTTCTGTGAGTGTTTCACAAGACAGGCAGACATTTCTAACATATTTTAACTTGATAAATGAGTGATGTCTTGCAATATGAGTACATGATGCTGAACGTCACATGATCACAACTGAGCTGATGGTTCTTCTCTCTCTCTCTCTCTCTCTCTCTCTCTCTCTCTCGCTGTGGGATTGTGGGTGATTGTCAATGCAGTGTCACATTTCCATGACATCCTCAAAAGGAGGCAAAAGCAAGTGTCATTGGCTAGGCTCCTTGATAAAGCTGCACGAAAAGAAAGAGATTCCATTGAGCCAACAGATAGCAGTGATTCCGTTAGTGATAGTGAAAGTCGTCCTGCACAGTAACCCTCCTCTGGTCTCCCTCTCACCAGCCACAAAGGGTTTCCAAGGCAAGTGCAGGCTAATTTGTTTCTTTTTCTTTCAATTTTGTATTTTCTTTATTATTTTGTATTATATTACAATTACATTATATTATATATATACAATTTATTACAATTATATTACAATTACATTATATTATATATATACAATTACATTATATTGTCATCATTTTTATATGGATATTTTTGGTTTGTAGGATGAATGAGTTTGCATTATTTCTTATGGGGAAATTCGCTTTGACATACACGTCCTTTGCATTACAAGGATGTTTCCAGAATGAATTACTCTCACGAACCAAGGTTTTATGTACTTAGTTTAGAAAGAGGTTAAAGGAAGCATCTCTGAGGTGACCTATGAGGAGTAACGGAAGAGCTCCCAGACACAGGCAGCCCGAGAGAGCCCAGCCCATCAGGATTTGCACTCAGAAGCTCATCGTACTCTCTGATGGTCCGTCTACACTACCGACTGATACTCCCGTTCCCTGAGCTGGAGACGATTTTACCCGTAGGAAGAGACTGTGTTGCTCACACTGCACCCTTGTGCCCTGTTGCCCCCTTGGCAACATGCTGGTCGCCAGAGACTGCCAGGGAAGGGCCAGCTCCCTGGACCACGGTTCTTCCTGCCACCGACAACATCTCCTAGAGGCCTTCCAGGGCTGCTCTCCACCCTGGTCAACCCCGTGTGATCTAGGAGACTGACAAATTGGTCATCAGAGGGATCAGAGGGAGGGACATGGAGATAGATTGACAGTGGTGATGAGTGCAAATACACATGTTAATTTCATTCGTTTGTCCAATTTCATTTTCTACACTTCACTCTGCCCTTATGTGATTTCCTTGGTAAGGAAGCAAGAGGAGCCCTTCATCTGCCACACTTGTGGTTTGCTTGTTTGTTTGTTGTTTTGTAGGTCACATATTTTGAAATCAAACCAGTAATTCAGGGTTTTTAGTTACCTACACATTTCCCCTCCCGCCCCCATTCTCACTGTCTGTTACTCAGGGGGTGTGGAAGGGGAACTGTGGTGGAGGGAATTTCTAAGCCAGTGTAGACAACATAATCTTGGGGTCCATGGCAGCTCAGTAGGGATGGATGAGGCTCCTGGTGGAGCTTCTGAAAGCGTGGGCAGAACGACTGTAATTAGTGTATCTCTTTCACTACTACCCTTTTTATTACTAACTAAAGTCATCATGCCATTTTAACCGCTCTACCGAACTTTTCTCAAATTTGGAAATGGAAACAGGGAAAATAAGCAGAGAGTACGCATTAGTCAACTATTTTTGGTGTGTGGGAAATAAATAAGTGTTCTTAGTGAAGACATTTCTAGAAAGGCTTTGTCTCTCCTCCGTGGATCTTTGTTGCCCACCGCAGTAAAAGTTGTAGGGTAGCCCTGGCTTTGAGAAAATCTAACTCCAAGGTGGCCATGGTCCCTTATTATTTTAAGACTATAAGAACATAAAGTAAAAGTGTCTTTTTTGTTTATCTTCTTTTTCATAAACCCAAAGAATATTTGGAAACATTTTTTATGTACTTGTCTATCTTGATACAAGTGGACACTAAGTTTGTTTTCAGAATTCAGTTATATATATGGTTTTTTTTCCTTAAAAGGGAGTGAGGGAAACAAAAGTGTGCTTGTGAATGAGCGAACAATGGAAAGTAAATGACATTTAATGATACACCAGGAGCAGACTAACAAAGACTGAGAAGGGCTGTCGTGCTGTGCACTCCATTTCTCTATGAGTAGTGCACAAAACTTACATTACATGTCTTTCTACTATGGGACAGGGAGGAAAAAATAAAAACAAATGAGACAAAAACGATGACAAAACAAAATCCTAAACCTTGTCTGGCTGCTTCTGAATTCTGGGGAAAAGACTACTCCTCATCTTGGGGACATTTTATCGATGGATAAAGTGAGGGGTTGTGCAGTGAGGCTCTGAGACCAAAATAAACTGCATTTCTCTGCTTGTTAAGTATTAAGTTAATTTGAAAAAGGAGAGAAAGGAAGCTTTTGCTGGGGGAGGGGGGGAAGGCAGGGGTGACTGAGGGAAGTGAGAAATGAGAGAACTGCCAGAGGCCAGGCCGAAGTCAGGGGACTGAGAGCAAGGTTCAGAAAGAAGCTTTCCCAAGGAGGGAGGGCTGGCATCTTACAGGTGCTGATGCCTGACCTTCAGGTTCGCTCTGTGTCCTGGGGAAGCTGGCCACAACCCAGATAATATGCCCTTCCCTCCGAGTTCCTTAGAGACACACAGCACCAGGGAGGGTGGGTCTGTGCCACCCAACCTGGAAAGCAAAGCCTTGACCTATCTTTAGAAAATGGATTTTATGATATATGAAAGGTTCCCGGTATGACTAAGACCAAAATTCTGGGCTCATTGGGGTCAGTGATACTGGCCTCATAATGGAAGTTGGGAGGTGTCTCTTGTCTACTTTCTGGAAGAGATTATGCAGAGCTGGTGCAATACCTTTTCTAAACGTTTGGTAGAATTCCCCAGCAAACACCTGGTCCTGAATTTTTGTTTTGTTTTGTTTTTCCAGAAGGATTCGACTATAACTTTAATTTCTTATAACATATACAGAACTATTTAGAGTGTCCATTTCTTCTTGGGAGAGTTTTGGTAGTTTGTGGTTTTAAGGAATTGGTCCATTTCATCTAAGTTGTCACACTTATGTGAGGAGAGTTGTTCGTAATGTTTCCTTAGTATTATCCCTGAAATGTCAGTGGGGGGCGGGGGGTCTCATTCCGGATATTGGTGATTTCTATCTACTCTCTTTTTTTTTATTTGTCCATCTGGCTAGAGGTTTATTAGTTTTATTGATCTTTTCAAAAAACTATCTTTTGGTTTTATTGGTTTTTCTCTATCATCTTTCCAGTTTAAATTTTATTGATTTCTGCTCTTTATTATTTTCCTGCTTTTGCTTGCTTCAGATTTATTTTATTCTCATCCTTGTTTTTTAAAACTTTTTTAATGTTTATATATTTTTGAGAGAGAGAGGCCAACTGCAAGCAGGAGAGGGGCAGAGAGAGGGAGTGACGGAATCGGAAGCAGGCTCCAGGCTCTGAGCTGTCAGCGTAGAGCCCGATGCAGGGCTTGAACCCACGAATTGTGAGATCATGACTTGAGCTGAAGTCAGATGCTGAACCAACTGAACCCCCCAGGCGTCCCCCGCTCCCGACTTTCAGATTCTTGAAGTGCCGCTGCATACCCGACGAGCACGTTAATAAGTGCTTTAAAATAATTCCATCAGTAACGACAAAGACAATGCCTTCACAGATACACACAGAGAAGTTTATCACAATTGATCTGGTGTAGGTTTGCCTCGTCGTTTTCTACAAGGTAATTTATCTCGGTGAAACTGATCTGCAGGGAATAAATTGATGAGTGAAAACCTGCATTTCATTTCTGTGCTGATTTACAATTCACCCTTTTTGCTGGGACCACCGATTACTAAGAAATTGTTACGGTATTTGCCTTGAATTGGTTAACAGGGTTTTTTTCTCCACCAATTGGAGACTCAGTTTCAGACTAATGGAGCTTCAGGTATAAACCTCTAGAGCTTATTGCTAACCTCCCTGCTAATCTCTCCTACCATCTGATCTCTGAGTACTATTGTTTCCTGCTTGTTAAAAGGCACATAAAAAAGTGAGTTACTTATGACATCTGAGGGGAGAACAATTTTAGGATTTTAGGATTAACGTTTCATCGAGGGGAGAAAAAGATGAAATCAAATCATCATAGAATTCTTACAAAGCTTAGTTTTCTGTGAATATTTTCCGTATACAAAATAAAGTTTAAGATCACTGTCTTTTTTTTTTAATTTTTTAAAATGTTTTATTTATTTCTAGGAGAGAGAGAGACAGCGTGAGCAGGGGAGAGTCAGAGAGAGAGGAAGTCACAGACTCTGAAACAGGCTCCAGGCTCTGAGCTGGCAGTCAGCACAGAGCCCAACGCACGACGCGGGGCTCGAACCCACGAACCGCGAGATCATGACCTAAGCGAAAGTCGGATACTTAACCGACTAAGCCACCCAGGCGCCCCTTAAGATCACTGTCTTAAGTTTAAAGTTTAAGATCACTGTCTCCAGGGAAATTTAAATTCCTTAGAATATTTTTCTTCTAACAGAATTTTCACAAACTTGAAAAATCATGTCTAACCCTCTGCAGTTTTCCTTTAAGGCTGCCTGAAGGTATCAGAAGCGTAAAGACACAGTGCATCTTTTTGTTAAAAACACTATGTAGTGATACTTAGGGTTTCTGTTTAGTGAGAGAGACGCTTCTGTGGTCTGCACACAGAATAGAAAATGAAATTCACCAGGCGTCTTAATGCAGGTCCTAAATTTCATCTCTCTGTGTGGTCCTTCTTCAATCAGACAATTCACACCTTGTTTACTCCCAGCTTTATACCAAAGAAAACAATGACTTCAGGACACCTCTTACTTCCCGAGGGCATCATAATAACAAATGAACACCCAAGTGGACAGAAATGAGCTTATAACTCTAGTAGACTCCCCCAAATGTGTGACAATTTTGAGGCATTAGATTTAAAAAATGGCTTAATATTGAAACTTCGGCTTCTGACTTATTTTTAATTAAAGGCAAAGATGCTCCAACAATAATTTTTCAGATTCTTTTTTTAAGTTAATTTTTTTTTTTTTTTTTTTTTTTTTTTAGTAATCTTTAAACCCAACATGGGGATCAAACTCACAACCCTGAGATCAAGAGGCTTGTGCTCTAATGACTGAGCCAATCAGATGCCCCGGAGTATTTCAAAATTGCTTTGTGAAGGAATCTTCTGGCATCTGGCCTTAATCTGAAATATATAGTCTTGAACAATAAGATGAAGGAAAAGAAGCCTTAATCTTCACGCTCCCATCTTCGGTGGACCCTCTTACAGGCTGTGCCTGCCCCGCCTGCAACAGAAAGCTGGGCAGGTCCCAGTGTGTGTCCGACACGTACAGACACTATTCGGAGTCACAAAGGAAAACAAACTCCTTTCCACTGATCATTTCTTCATCTGCTCATAAAAGAGTTACCCTGGGTCATAGATGGGCTCATGAAATTCATATAAGGAGAAGATTTTCAGAACCCAACACCTGAGTGTTTGTTTGGGGAAGGAAATTGCACCTGTTGGAAAGGAATGAGTGTGGACCGATGGTGCAGCTTGGAGCCAGCCGAGGGAGTGACTTTTCTAATCTGCTTTTCACCTTAACACCCAGATGGAGGGGGAGAGAGGAGGGAGACCAGCTGTCTGTGACCAGATTCAGTAAAGTGTTGGGGCCAGGGTGGATTGGACCCGAGACAGGCTGCTCCGGCTTGGGTGGCTACGTTTCCGAGCAGGACATGGTATTCTGGCACCTGCAGACAGCTGGCTTCTGCTGGGACCACTCTGTACATTCCTTCTCTTCAGCAATCAACGTGCTTATTTAGAAAAGCTGACTGCCTGGAAAGCCTGGCGTCCAGGTAGGAGGTGGCTGGGACGCCACAGGTAGGGAAAGCTGTACCCTACCTCTCTGTCTGCTTCTCCCAGCCTGATACTGGGTTTGGAGCCAGGAGCCCTGACAGCTGAGGACCCCGTGGGTGGAGGGAGTCCTCAACTGCCCAGCCCCATCCAGGGAAGGGCAGAGCTCTCCCTGCATCTAGCTAAGGGCCTCTAGAGGCCAAGGACCTCCCTTCTTTGTTGGGGTGGGGGTGGGCATAGGCTTACAAGTCGCTGTGTGTGTGGGGGGGAGGGTGTTTACCTGGGCTCCAGCCCCTCCCTCACCCCTTCTTTCCCTTCTAAGCTCCC